GTATCGTAAAGGATAGTTATTACTAATAAGATTTTAGTATGTTGTTTCGTGATTGGCATAGTAGATACAGTAGCTTGTTTGATCAATGAGAGAAACTCTCACATTTTGATCAATTTTTTTGCTTTAGTTTCACACTAAGAGCTGAACATTCTTTTCTTGTTGATTCAGTTTAGTGGGAAATCAGTGGGCATCATTGGTCTAGGTAGAATTGGGACTGCCATCGCTAAGAGGGCTGAAGCCTTTAGCTGCCCAATCAATTACTACTCGAGAACAGCGAAACCTGATGTGGCCTACAAGTATTATCCAACGGTGGTTGAGCTTGCTAAAAACTCAGATATCCTCGTGGTGGCATGCCCGTTGACGGACGAGACCAGACACATTGTGAACCGGCAGGTGATGGATGCATTAGGAGCAAAGGGTGTGTTGATAAACATAGGGCGTGGACCACATGTTGATGAGCAAGAGCTTGTAAAAGCTCTAACAGAAGGCCGATTAGGAGGGGCTGCGCTAGACGTGTTTGAGCAGGAGCCACACGTTCCCGAGGAGCTCTTTGGCCTTGAAAATGTGGTCCTGCTCCCCCACGTTGGGAGTGGCACTGTGGAGACTCGGAATGCCATGGCCGATCTTGTGGTGAGTAACTTGGAAGCGCACTTCTCTGGGAAATCGCTTCTGACTCCGGTGGTCTGAGTGACTTGGGGATTGGTGGTGTCATTTGAAGGGCATTTATGTTGATAAACTAATGGAAAGGGTAATTTCTCTTCCAAATAAGGTTGCACTGTCGTACATAAGAAATGAATTTGAACACTTCAAGAATTCTCTCTGTTTCATGTCTCTTATCTTTAGTCTTTTTATATTCTTTCTATTCAAGTATTGGAATAGCATTAGGACAAACCCCAGAGCCCAAAAACGTTTACCTAACCAACTAGTCAGACGACACTAATCTAGTCAAGTGAAGCTATCTATATCTGTTTTGTTGAGAATCAGCAGAACTTCAGAAAGTGGAGATATCATATCTGACATTGGTACATCAAGCGGACATAACACAAAAACCCAAACTTTTTAACTAGCGCTTCTTTCGAGTCTTCTTGGGCGGTTGTTGCGTGGTTTCGCCTTCGCTTTTGCTTTCCTTCTTGTTATCTTCTTCTTTCCTGATGCACATTAACAAAGAATCTTGGAGTTAGAATGGTAAACAACCAATGAGTATCCAGCACTCCACTAAATACAGCATGTGACTAGATAAGCGCTGATATAAGCCAAGACCCAAGTATTTGTCATGCAATGAAAAGACAAGGTTTGGTTTCATGTCATACCCTCCTTCCGCCTCAGCTGATGACAGTCTTTTCCACACCTCTCTCTCCATCTCCCCTGTAGGCATTGTTAGTATACTACTCATTCCCAATGTTTTGTACTATTAACTCTATTTTAAATGACTAACACAAGGGAATGGACACCTTACCATTCACTGCTTCCAAGGCAATTGAGAATTTATTCTTCACAACTAATCCCCCAGCAAACTCCACCGCCGCACGGGCTTTCATTGCTGTGTCTGAATCTATGAAACAAACGTAACCTGGATCCAATCCCCCAGAGTGTTCTATGTGCTGCAACAAAACACAGAAAACGATTGTTGGTCAACAGTCACTTTTTAAGGCATCTCGGTGGTTGCACAAAGTTTGGAAGTTACCTTAATGCTGCCAAATCTTTGAAAAGCATCCTTGAGAGCCTCAGAGCCAATGTTATCCCACGGGGGAACCACAAGTTGATCAGCCTTCTCTCCGCTTTCCTCCCTTTTATCNTCCTCTCCTTCCAATTTCTCAGTCGTGTCTGCCTTATCTTCCTCCCTCATGATTTTGTTTTCTAGGTTTTTGGGTTTTCCTGCAATCCAGAGAAGTTGCTCAGAGAGCAGTACATATTATTTAGAGATGAGCAGTCTTGAAAAACCAGAACATACCTTTGTCTACGACTTTTTGTCCACTGGCTATCCTTTTCAGTGTAAATTTGACAAGCTGGCCCTTGCGGAATCTGTAGCAATACTGCAAAATATTAGCTTAACTGGTTTTTTAATCAAGAAGCGTTTTGACTAGGCAAGACAAAACAAACAACAAACTGACTTGTTGTGGGAGGTATCTTTAAGACTTGGCCCTGATTTTCCGAGTTCCTTGATCATAATCTGTCTTTGACAGTCAAAATCACTCCTGTATATCAAACAGAAACAGTTAGGTCATGCGAATCTGGTGTTTCATGTACCATCCTTCCTTACTTACTTTGGTATTAATACTAAATCAGCACCGGCATAGACGATCTTCTGCCTCAAAACATGTTCAGTGTCTTGTTCGGACGAGAATTCAACCAAAGCAGTGCCACAAAAGAGTCGCTTGTCTCCGATGTGGTGAGGTAGCCTTACACTATTAACCTGAACAGCTCAAATCAAACGAGCAATCAACAAGATTCATAAAGCTAGTTTCAAAATCATCATTAGACACGCATGAGGAAGAAGAACCTTGGCATATTGGGAGAAGAAAGATGCGACATCTTCCATCTTTGTGGAGTACTCGAAAGGCGATGCGGCAATGGTTCTTCTGTGGACTTGTTCAAGCACCTCTTCGGGCTTGGAGAGTTTTGTTCCTCTACCAATCCTTTGTCCTTGGATTAACAGAAGAGTAAAATGTCATATCATAAGTCTCAT